TTGATGTTGTTTACAACTGTTTTTTAAGAAATGCAAGGAAAGAATGAGAATAGCTACAAGGCCTTAGATCTACAAGTAAAAACGGATTGATAGTTTAAACTGGGTTGCTATTAATGGGACAATTGGCAAAATTCTGATTAGGTCTAGATTAGTTGATAGGATTGTACTGATACTAGTTTACCGGTTTTGATCATTGTACTATGCTTATGTGAAAGAATAGAGGAAGCTAGAGGAAGGATATATGGGAACTCTGCACTAATTTTACAACATTTTGTAATTCTAAAACTATTTCAAATAATTTCAAAAATAAATTAGAAATAAACCTTTCATTTACACAACCATCTTTATTACTGTATATGTTAGCTTCAAATGTATCTTGAAGGAACTATGAATGATTGTGATCACGTGTTTAATAAGTGAAAAGTGAGGTGTTTCGTGTTCTTCTGTCGTCCTTAGGATATCTTGACTTCCAGGAAACATTATTCAAAATGTTCACAATTATGTGTTATGTACAATTTTTGCCTTTGGAAAAAATGGCATAAACATGGTTTCATCAGATTCTGAAAGGGGTCCATGATCCTAATTTAGGGCGGGGAATCTGTGGCCTTGTGGCAACATGTGGCCTTCTGGATTCTTGAGTGTGGCCATTTTGACTGAAGGGAGGCCCCCCTCTCTTTCTTACTTATGCCAAACAACCAGGGTCATCATTAATGTAGAGCTCTCCAGTAAGGAATCTATTACAATAACTGTATTTCCTCCTTCCACCACGAATAAAAGAACTCTGAGTGAAGAGTTGTCTTCTCCGAAGGTCTGTAAGATAAAGAGGTCCTTTTTGGCATGTTTGGACTTAATTCTTTCCGGAAAAATGAGCAGGCAGGGACTTCACTTCCAAGTTCAAATCCTTGTTCTGTGAAGTTTGGATTCAGTCGAGGGGCCACACTTTGGGATCTGGAGGGCACGTGGTTTTGAGGCTGCAGGTTCCCCACCCCTGCTGGACTCATCCTAAATTTCATCCGTGAACTACCAATTTGAAGAATTAGAAAACAAAAAAATACCCTAAACAATAGAATTATTTTGAATTTAATATATTATGATTTGAGTCACTAAAATATTAATATTTTTCACTTTATGCTCATTATGAAGAATAAAAAGGATCATTTTTATCACTTAAATCAACAAGTATTTATTTTGTTTGTCCCACCCTGTTATAAGTGAAATGAAAGATATGAGGGAAACAAGTTA